GTATTTTATTGTGTCCTTCATGTTTGGTTTTGAGGAGAAGAACAAGGCTATGCGACATCAACGGTGACAGGGGGCGAAACCTTCATCATTGGCGGTTTCAAACATGTTTTCCTTGTTCATATTCAAAGGTTATTGCTTACAAAGGGTTGGAATCCCCAATCTGTATTTGTTATTTTTGTGAATCGAATGGTTCGTGTATAGCCACAATGAACATTCGTCGCGCGGTAGTGTGTCCGCCGCCTTTAGTTCTTTGTGGTTTATACAGTCTGTTGTCTGTAATTCGGGTGTCCCACAGAATCCAACGTTTGAAAAAATGTTGCCTTCCACAACATCTAATTTGAATATAAGACCCCGGGTGTTTCTTCAGTGGAACAAAACCAGACAGATTTTGCAAATTTGTGGTTTAACTTCATGTTGGTGTTTCGAACAAACCTTTTGTAACATCATGTGCATCATGTTTTGAGAATGTTGCCGCACGTGTCAAGGCATCAAATTTCCAAAGGGTGAACATTTGAGAGTTGCAGTTGGAATACTTCCAGATTGAATGTGACCACTCATTCCAAACATGGATGTGAACTAGTGCCGCAACCAACTAGCACGACTTGGATATGACATTTCGTTTGTGGAAGTGGCAGCCAATACAATGATTTCAGTACACCTCGCTATTGCGATGTTGGGATGCGATGATGTTGGATGCTGGAGTCAACCTACCTCAACACACCATTTTTTTCGTTTTGTTGCTTGGTGTTTTTTGGGTTCTTGTTTTGTTGACGAACCATGGCGCACCTTTGGTATGCGGGTCGCGAGCTTTGGATCCATCCCAGGCACATGAAACAGTGAAACAATGATTGGCAGAATAAATTTCCCCATCATTCCACGTTTGAATTTGGATCGTGTTGACTTGGCAGGTTTCAGCGTATATCCATGCGGTTGGGTTTGGGACTACAAGAGGCTGAGTGGTTGCGATGTTTGCTCAGAGGAAATCAGTTTAAATTCTGAAAAAAATACCTTACAAAATGAAATTTGAAACGGATTTTGGAAAGGAGTTGGCATGGTGTGAAACCAAATGCAAAACACATTGTGGCCACCCGTTCTGATATCAAATGACACGTTTTATTATTGGTATTAATTTGTGAGTGTTTGCAATTCTTGTATGCTATTTTCGGGGACCGGTGTTTTCAAAGTATGCTCCGCGAGAGGCAGAAACAGAAAAAACCATTGGCATTTCGATGGTGGCACCCTACGATCTGTGTATTGACTTGCCGCGCAAGTCACAAAAGTTCCAGAAGGTTGGACAATTTGGGATGACAATTGGCAACAACTTTCGAAACATTGGCACAATACTTTGATTTGCCATCTTGGACCTGAATTTGTTGAGCACGTGCATTGTTTGTTCCTCAATCAAACACATTTTGGATAAATTTTTCAGTATTAAAATCTGCAGTTTCTGTTTGAAGGGCAAAATCGAAACGACAATCATTGGCGCACAACGATTCTTCCAGAAGTGTCATCCTTTGTTTGTTGGAATCAACAATTTCAAAGGATTCGTACGCGTGGATGAACATCATTGGAAAAATGAAACGATCCGGGTTGAACCGTGATGGACAAGAGGGTTCTACCATGTTCTACCATGTTGTCGTGAAGGCAAGAACGAAATGAATTTCCGCAGGCTCGTGGTGTGCAGAGTCCGACATTTTTTCCAAAACATGTGCGAGGCTGTCCCTGGGGAGGAATGGCAAGAGATGTTTGGATTTTGCCGTGTCAGGATGCTACACTTTCAAAACGCCAAGCAGTTTCCTGGTTCAGCCGTTTGGGACGTCACAGTTTCTTGGCGGAAACTGGGAATCTCTGGGACACAGGGTGACGTCGGTGACGTTGGATTTGGCACTTTTGAATCCAAGGTTTCAGACCCAAACTGTCCCATTCGATTCCGATACGTTTGGTGCAGCGCTTGGAAACTTGGAGGGTAGCAGTGGTATCCTGAGTTGTTTGGTGGGAACAGGATGGCAATACTCCGTACAGACCTTGCAAATTGTCAGTCTAAAATGATCAATATATGCCAACATGACTGCTATCCAATATGCAAGGATGCCACGAAAGAAATTAGTAACTAGTTTACGTTTGGTGGACCTTCATGGTCCAAGAAGATAACGATCCTGTCACAGCCGAATGGACAGTAGCTCTTAGCTTTGCATTCTAGATTATATATAATGCAAAAATTGTCAGCAGGTGAAAACTTGCGGATACGCCATACAATATTTCTTCATTGTTTTTCCCTACTCATACTTTTCAACCATTTTTCGGTTACTGCTTAGTGTGTGTGCTAGGCCTTCAGGTCTCACATTCTCTTGCTGTGTCTTTGCATCACAAATTTATCATGAAGTCTCTTTCCAGTATGCGATGTGTTTCGGGTCGAGATGTTTCGTCTTGCGCTGAGGATGACTTGGCCATGAAAGATGCCCTCGACAGTTCATCTTTGAGAGCTGTCCTGGTTGCTGCTGTCTACTTGGCATCAAGTGTACGCAGTGTACGCAGTCAAGCAGTTCAGGAGATGAGGGGGGGATATGTAGAAAATTGTAGAAACAAGAGGCGAGAAACCATAGATAACCATAGTGCCTTACCATGCTTCCGGATGCCTTAGGGTGGAGGGAGCAGAGGAACAATTTAAGACAGAGGACGAACATCAATAAGAAATAAAGGACAACCGCAAATAGTCCATGCTTTGAAGGAAATCTGGAGAAAGGCCATTTTGTTTCGCAGTTGAAATTGTGTACATTGACAGTTTCCTGATTGTTTTTACATGTTTTTGCCATCTGTTAACTACTTCCTGCTCTTCTTTGTTGCACGACAGAACGCATACGGATCTATGCTGCAAAACTGCGCCAAAGCCTGCGACCGCTGGCTCAATCTGGAGAAGGCCTAAGGGCGATGAAAGAAAAAACTGTGGGAACAAGAGTAACAAGAAATACATACATCGTATACACTAGTGATATAACAAGAAGAACAATAGCAAGAACAAGAACAATATATACTGCCTGTATGCACATAGAACATCCATCCCTTTGAACTCTTTGCGTCCAAACATGTGAAAACCGTGCCAGGATCTGCACTGCATTTTGCTTTGTACTCAGCTATAGAACAGCTCGCATCCCTAGAACGTTCAACGGAAATTGCTTGAAAATTAAGATGACTGCAAACTCCAAAGAGATTTCTCAATCAGAAAACCAGCTGCTGCCGTGAGGCAACTACGGGGAGACAGCTAGCAGATGTTGCATGGGCACTTGCCAAATTGGAACTGCTTGGAATTCACACAACTGGCGGTAGAGGCAGGACACTTTGAAAGTTTTGGCATGTTTGGAGCAATCGAGAGTTGTGAATTCGCATGTGTTGTTTGCACTTCTAATTCTTGTTCAGAAATTGGAGTTTGGCATGTATGGTAGCTGGTGGCATGGAGAATGGTAGAGCTTCCAATGCGGCCAGAGTCAGTGATGTTCCCACGTTTGCTAGACATCCAGGGGTCTTTTTGGAACTTCGACAACGTTTGGCAAAAGCAGAGGCGCAGTGCCGAGCAAGGCCTAAAGAGACGCCTTGAGTGCAACAGAATGAGGAGAAAATACTGTACACTGTATGCACTTAAACTATTTGATAACGGACAAACTAATTTTTATCATTCATATGGCCTCCAGAGTCTTGCAACTTATGACTTGTAGAAGTCTAGACTTGTCGGTCGCTCAGGTGGACTTCTTGGCTTCCGACCTTCGGAGACTGGGCACTGGATCTGAAATTTGACCCGACCCCGAGGTCAAAAGTGATCCTTTTCTTTGTGGGGATTCCTTTCAAGCAAGGTGTTTGTTTGTAGCAATTGGCTTGCACTTTGCTGGAATCTTGGTGAAAGGATCTTTCTCAAAACTCATGAGCATAGGAGATTGGTCGCTGATTTAGATCCCACCATACAATCCATACGCAAACTGTGTAAATGCAGATTGGTGACACTGGACATTTGGAATGCCGAGTACTGTTGCTAGTGGTTATCCAGTGTGCGATTTATACAGCGTACAGGAAGCCTGAGTAGAGGAAGTGGCATTTCACATGGTCAATTGCTGCGAAACGGTTAGGAAACTCGTGTGGGCTTTGTCGGTTTTGTCATCGGACGATGTGTGGCTTTTTGGACGTCTTGGTGACAAGTTGGCCGAGCGTCAAGAGGCCCGGGGAGACTTGGACCTCGACCGACCTGTTCCAATCGACCGATGTGACGTATGTGACGTCTGTGACGTGCGTCCATGGGCATTCTCCCAGAAGTCCAGCAAAAAAACATCAATCTTCAATGTTTGTTCGACTGGAATTGGATTTGCCTCTACTCTTTGCATCTCTTTGCACATATCCATGTGAAGTAGATTCGTGGCTTCAAACAAATTAAGTTAATTAGATATCAAAATCATTTCAATATATATATATATATATATACTAGTCGGACAAAATCGTTGCTGCCAAGAGTGAACGAAATTTCAGGATCCTGTAAGAATTCCCATAGATCTCATTCGTTGTGTTTTTCACTGCCCTTGAAGGAACTTTCCGGTGCCGATGTTGCAACCATTGCCTTCGCATACCAACGAGCTGGTGGGGACCGCGGGGCCCGGACTGGGTCGATGGCAGAAAATCCAATTCGTTTGTAGCTGACTTCACTTTGACTTGCTGGAACGGCTGGAACTGCCCTCTTTCGGTCATTATTTGCAGTCATCAAATTACCCAAAGCCCAAGGATGAATTGAAGTCCAACAGTCCATTGCAACGAGCCCTGAAGATAGAGGAGATTGGATGAGAGATAGAAGAATTTCTTGACACGTGACATGTCAGCGCTGAGCGCGGTCAGGTCAAACCCATTCACTGCTTTTCCGCGCTTTGGCCAAGCGGTTGCCCTTTTGCACGCTGACGGCAGCAGGGGTGGCGAAGCTGGCAGCTGCCTTCGCAGGACCGCCCTCTGTGTGACAGTTGAGTTAGGTTCCAAAAGGAGTTGGTGGCAATATCAGAACCAAACTTGAACCACAGCAATCATAGCACTAGGAGACCCTTTGAAGCACCTCAAAGCTTGTGTTGCAGACCCATGCCCTCCTTGTGCAGGTGTTGGTTTCGACGTGCAAGTGAGTCAAGGCAGAAAAAATGGTGGAAGCGGTCACTTCCCAGGAATGAGGCTTGAATAAATATTCTTAAAGTTTTCTCAATCCATTATCAATTTACACGCGGTTCATAATTGCATGAAGAATGTGTTCCAGTTGGAGCTCCTCATTGCGGTTCGTGAAAGTTGTCAAGCTTGTGCTGATGTCTGTGCCGTCGGTGCCCCTGATATCCCTGTGTCACTGCACAGGCGTGTTTGGGGAGCTGCTGTCCCAAGCAACGAAGCTCGGAGCTGAGAAAACTCAGAGATTTTTTTTCTCGAAGACCTCCTTTCACAGCCAAGTTGTTTTCATCTTGAAAAAGAACATCTGGAATTGCCATCGCCGAGGGAAATCGATCACTTTGAAGCACAGGAGGGCCTCGTGGGTCGATGCCATGGCATGGGAGTCTGGTAGTGATTCGTTCTGATCCATTGTGCGTCCGGAGGACCTGGTGAATCTGCTGCACGCCACGGCCACAATCACGAAGACCTTGGAGGCACGGCGTCGCGGCGTCGCGTATTGCCATGCCCAAAGATATGCAAAGATATTCACAGCAAATATATGCAAATCTGATCAAATATCTCAAGCTGTGCTGAATCAACCTTAGTGTAGGATTCCTTGAGCACTCGCTTCTATGCACGTCTCTCATGTGTTCCTCATGTGTTCCTTTTTCGTATCGGGTCCTTTGACCTGGCATGGTTTATTAGGTTTAAGTAAAAAATAGTGACAAGATTTGATTTACCGCAATTTGTCAAGGTCGAAGTCCAAGGATTCCTCGAAGCTGCCTCACGGAGGTTCGGCCCAAATAGCCTTTTCTGCCTCTTTTCGTGAAATGAAGGATAGGATACGCTGAAAAGATTAGGCATATTTAGGTGTGAAGTTCCGCTTTGGCTCTAGTCTCTGTCCTGTTTGCACGGCAAGCTCTAGATTTGAGGTGTGAGGCATTGTCAAAGCCTCAAAACTTCAGCGCTTGTGGTAAAATGGGATAAACCTTGAAACCAAATGGCTTTGCTGAACAGTTTCACAAGAAGCTTTTGCTTCGTGTTCATAGCATCCCAGAAAACCCAAGGTTTCTGAGATTGCAGGCTGCTATGAGACATATGATATATGAGATGCTATGAGCGATCCTTGAGAATTGGTTTGTAGACCGATTGCTGAAAGGAGTGAGCTTGTAGGACTCGATAGTCAGAGTATGACTAAGGTGCGCAGTTTCGCAAGCGCAAAGAGACCTGCTTCTTCCCAAAGACCTTTGCAGCTTCGCTTGGTCCTTTGCACAGCTTCAGCCACTTGGGATGGAACTTCATGGGAAAGCCCGGTGCAGAGTGGGCTGTGGGCTGATGTAACACTGCATATCACTATGTGACCATGTACCCCTGTGATTCCGTGTGCCCTTGTTTGTTTTCTCCTTGAGCGTCAGAGCAACTTCAATTGGGAAGCCGCTACTGAAGTTTTGGAGTGATGGGAAACTTGCGTTGGAAGGGGAGTGTGCTTGTTTTTTCTTTGTTCAACTGACTGTGTGAGATTCTTGCTTTCCATAGGTTGTTTTGTCCAGAGGTTCCCCGCAAGGACTTTGAGACACATTTCAACTGTCTTTCTTGTCTTACTTCCGTGATGACCTTGTGTCGATGTGGATCTTCTTCTCAGATTTGATTCTTTACGTGTTTCGTTCTGATTGCTCAGGTGTACAAACGTTTTGCCCACTTTGGCTCGCGCGTGTCTTGACCATCGAAACTTCCACAGCTTTGATCCGCGTTTTTTGTACCTTGGCAAGAAAATACGCACACAAAAACATCCTTCACAAAAGGGATATATCCTGCACGAGCCCTACGACACTTTGTATCAAGTTCTGAGGAGTGGTCAACTCTGTTGGGCCTTCGGTGCAACACGCCTTTATCTCAGAATCGACTGCAGCGAGTCGCTTTCCAGGCTCAGTTGACTTCGTTGGACACCTGAAACCCTCTCTCTCTCTCTCTCTGCTTCAATTGACGTACGGTAAGGTGTTGATGAGCCTGAGCTCTTTGATGCCATCGCTCAAGAAGTGATGAGATCACCCAGCTCCTCAGCAGCATCTTTTTGCACCCGCAACGCTGGCTGTTTTTTAGTCATGGTAAACAATCCAGGAGCAGAAATATGCCACAGAAACAAGCAGAAACGATTGCTTTCCGTACAGTCAGAATACTGTAAATAAAACCAGGGTTCTGGGCTTCCTTGACTGGGTGTGCAAACTTGCACTGCACCAGTGCCCTTGCCTACCACGATACTAGCTCTGCTAGAGGAGTCAGTCCTTGCGTTGTTACTTCCATTCAGCCGCAATCCACCAGCCGCTTTCTACCAGCGGCCCTGCATTTCGCAACATCCCTTGCCCAGTTTGGAATCAGAATCTCCCTTCCAGGTGCTTACCAACCTCGTGACGTTTCAGTTTTGGCATGGTTTTTGGCTCAGCCGATTTGGTGCTCAATTTTCGAAGACTGAGTGAGAGGTGCGTGACGTGGGCCGAGACCAATCTAGGACGGTGCTGAGGTCATTTGCTCGTTTGGGTTACCACCAGCCGCTTCTATTTGATCGTTTGTGTGGTCGAGCTATGGGCTTGCTCGAAAAGTTCAACAGCCAGGAGTCACCAACACATGCCACGGTTTGGTTCAACAGGTTTCGCTTCAAAGTCGCCGTCCATATTGTAAAACAAGCGGTGTTTTTTGATGCACTTTGCATGCTAAAACAAATGATGCAACAAATGAATACAAATGATGCAGTCAGTGTGAGAGGACATGGCAAACATGCTTTGGGCCTTTTCTCATGTTGGCATCTCAGCAGCACCGAGCAATCAAATGGCAGAGAGCCGACAGATCGCCGGTGCCAAGCTGCCAAGGCATCATCGCCCCGTCCGTTTTCACCAAAGCGGCACCGTTGATTCGACAGAAACTGTCAACTTATCGTCTGCAGGAGCCGTGGATGTGGACAGCGGAGCCACTAGCCTTGACAGTTTATAGATGTTTATAGCGTTCAAGGCTGTGTCAACCCTTCAATTGCTTTAGCATGCTTTAGCTCTTTCGGATTGACATCTCACTAGCCTTGACAGTTCTCAGTCGCAGAGTTTTTGGGCCGAAGTTTCCAGGAGCTGGCGTTAGTGGCTTGGGCTTTCAACAGCCAGCTGGACCAAGCGCAACATGTCAGGAAGAGAATGACGAGCCACTGGGGCCGCATTTCTTGCAGCGTTGAAGTCGTGAGGAGTCAAAGATATTCAAAGATGATTTCACATTTTCACATTTTTGCAACTGTGTTGCGCCAGAATGCGCCAGACTAAGGTCCTTCTTGGCAGCGATTGTGTTTGGATTCGATGATGCTGGGGTGGTGGATAGCGGCAGACTTGAGGCGAAGGAGCTGGCTGGAAGCCCTTTGCGAATGTAAGTCAGCAGTGGCAAATCAAATATGAGTGCTTTGTTAAGTGTAATTATGAGTACTTCTCAAATGTGCACATTGTTTTCAGTACAATCAGTACAATAATACATAATAATACACTCGTAAATGACTCGTAAACGTCAAATATCAAATCCGCGCATATCCGCGCCATATTTTTCTGGACACTTCTACAGTCAAGGATCAAGGTTTTGCTATCTTACCATTGGGCGAAGCTCTCCGGGGGGTCGTAGCAGTTGTGGCTGTGCCTATTGGATTTGCAATGAATTGTTAAGTGGTTTAAAGTTTTTTGAGGGTCAAATCCCTGTATTTCCAATGGGTGCTTGAATGATCATAGTACTGGTAGCTAGTGAGGTTGTTTAACATATTTAGCTTGCAGGGGAAAACGTCACAGTAGGGAATAATAGCAAGAAACCGGTGAAGTACTAACTACTAACAAAGTACGAAAATTAATTATAGGGAAGTAATAGGCAAATAATAGGGACGCAATAAGGAAAAAATAATAGGAAAATAGTACGGGAATCATGGGGAAAGAATAGGGAAACAGTGGGGACATAATATGGAAGTAATAGGGGCGTAATACGGATTGCAGAAGAAATAGGGAGACATACGGAAACAATTGAGGAATAGTAGGGAAATAATGAGGGAATAATGGGAAAATAATCGGGAAATAGTACGAAAATCATTGGAAAACAAATACGGACATAATAGGATGATAATGGGGACATCATCGGGGAATAATAAGGGAATAATAAGAAATAATGAGGAAATAACAGGAAAATAATAGGGAAATCATTGAGAATTAGCAATAATACAGAGATAAGAAGGAGATAATAAGGACATAAATTATAGGGAGTAATCAAGAAATCATCGGGTCCTCGAGGTTGCATCGTGGTGACCGATTTGGGGGGTCAACTTTCTTGGTTACTAGCCGAGTGTTGCGGAGGCAGTGGTTCAGTATGTCGGCATCGGAGCGGAGGGGGAAAGTTAGACATCGAAACAAGATGTGCGCAAGAAGTTGCTCAGACCAGGAGGGAAGCTTAGATATTGAGACCGCATGAATGCAGGAAGTTGCTAAGAGGCACAGGTGTGGGGAAACTTTAGATGCTGAAACAAGATGCATGCAACAAATTGTGGAGAGGCCACGGGGGAACTAGATATGAAACCAAATGAATGCAGGAAGTTGCTGAGGGGCAGCAGGGAGGAAGTTTAGATATTGAAGCAAGATGAATGCCCACGTTTTGTTGCATGTTGCGAGTGTTTCATGGCTAGGCGGGAAGTATAGGTATTGAAACCCAATGACTGCAGGAAGCTTAGGAAGTTTGATGGCACTTGGGGGGAAGTTTAGATATTGAAGCCATGAACACACCCAAGACCCAGGGACTCCAAGTTGAGCCACCGCGTAACTGAGAAAGGCCCGAAGGGGCGTGAAAAGTAGAAATTGAGAAGAGTTGAGAACAGGAAGGAGGTGGGAAACCATATGTGGCGCTGCATTCCCTGCAGCAGGGCCACGCCCGCCAGGTCGCAGGCAGCTTCCAAGCATTGTGCGACAAAGCAGGCCGGTTCTTGGGGCCAAGAGCGTGATCCAGTGGCAGCGTTGAAACAAACGACAAACAAATTGTGGCGCGAAGCACATTTCGAAGTCAAAATGTACAAAGCACCAGGGTTTCGGACCACTTTTGGAGGTTCAGATGCCGCTTCGCTTCACCACACTAAATTACATTACATTACACTACACTACACTCCACTACGCTACATTACACTACACTACGCTACCTTCCACTACACTTCACTACATTACATTACACTACACTCCACGACACTACAACTACAACTACAAATGCAACTACACAACTACACTCCACTACAATACATTCCACTACGCTCCACTACACTAAATTACACTACACTACACTACATTACACTACACTCCACTACACTACACTACATTACACTACACTACATTACACTACACTACCTTCCACTACACTTCACTACAGTACACTACACTACACTCCACGACACTACAACTACAACTACGACTACACAACTACATTCCACTACACTCCACTACATTAAATTACACTACACTACATTTCACTACACTACATTGCACTACACTACACTACCTTCCACTACACTTCACTACATTACACTACACTACACTACGTTCCACTACACTCCACTCGATTACACTACATTTCACTACACTACATTACACTGAATGACACTGCACCACAGATAGACAGGTAGACGGATAGACAGATAGATAGATAGGTAGATAGATAGATAGGTAGACAGATAGATAGATAGACAGGCAGACATGAAGACAGATAGACAGATGAAAGAGAGAGAGAGATAGATAGATAGATACATAAGATAAGATAAGATAAGATAGGTAGATAGATAGATAGGTAATTAGATGAAAGCGAGAGAGAGAGAGATAGATCGATAGATAGATAGATACATAGAAGATAGGTTGGTAGGTAGGTAGATAGTCAGAGACAGAGAGGGAAAGAGAGGAGACCTCAAGCACCTTTCGGTCCATCAGTGGATTCGCTCTGCCATCCCTGTTTCACAACAACCAATCTCTCCTTATAGGTTCCCTATTTTTGAAACTTCCGCCACCGCCTTGTGCGGTACTACTGGTATATATATATATACATATATATATATATATATATATTGTCTGGTAATATAGTGTCTCAATACTAACAACAGAAGACCCTGCTCCTCTACGCTCTCGGGCCATCCGTCGTCTAGTTTTTGGAAGGTGGGCACGTAAAAGAAATCAATCCAAGTGTTTCTGTTGCAGGTGCTCAAAACAAGCACAAGCGAGGGCTTTATGAAATTGGACGTGATGGATACTGCTATTGGGCGGGAAGCTCTCTTAATCAGTTTTTGTAAAAGCGAGTCTGCTTGCCCAACTTTGATGCAAGGCCCTCGCCGAAAAGCAAGCAGTGCTTGAGGACGAAATGGCTGAGTCAGTGACTTCGTCCAGGGCCAAGACATCAATGCAAGTGACAGTAGACACATGCAGTTGTAGTGGGTTGTCCGTGTATGCAGCGCCACGTTGCAACCTGTTTGGTCGGAAGTGCACAACGATATGGCAGTTTTGTTGGCAAACAGGAAGAGACATCTTCTGGGATTGAGGCAGGCTTTGTTTAGTCAACGGTTCAGGCGACAGGCGCCGCAAAGCCAATTCAGCACTTGAAAACGCCAAGGCAACTCGCCGTGCTGCACGAAGCCGCTTCTGAGAACCGTGTGTTGGAGGAACTGCAAGGGTAGTGGCAGTTCTCAGCTATAGAGATGGCTGTTCGATGGGGCCCTTTGCAATGGTTTGATGCGTGGGTTCTTCGTACTTCTTTGTGCATCACCTTTTGTGATGGGGTGGTCTGTGCGCCCAGTGGCCATTCGCAGATGCTTGCCAGGAAGCCCTGGCAGCGGCCAATCAGAAACTGATGGCTCTTGGCGAGGCACCATGCCTTGGCTGGCCGGTTGGCAAAACCATGCAAAGTCGATCAAAGGCATATCTTTATCATTGGTTTATTTTGCATAGGCCACTTGAAGGAAGCAATCATGTCTACCAATGTGGCATCTTGAAATCTGGAACCGTGCCAGGAACCCGTGACGGTTGCCAGCAGGCATGGCCATTGCGGTAGGTCAACTGGATCTGTGAAAACATAAAGGTCTTGCAGGGGGCCAAGACCCCAAATTGACATGCGAATGGGACACATAAATATAGTTGCACGGTGTGACAAGGAAAGTAGCGCGTTTGACTCCATGATTTTGGAATTTGGAAAGGGAGGGCTAATTATTTTAGGATTTTTTTTTGATCAGGTTTAGGAATTATTTTTGGATTCCTGCTTCTCTGCTTTTCCTGCTTCTCTGCTTTTCCGTTTTTTTTGCTTTTCCTGCTTTTCCTGCTTTTCCTGCTTTTCCTGCTTTTCCTGCTTCTCTGCTTTTCTGCTTTTTTGCTTTTCTGCTTCTCCCGCTTTTCGCCTTTTCTGCTTTTTTGCTTTTCTGCTTCTCCTGCTTCTCTGCTTTTCTGCTTTTTTGCTTGTCTGTTTTTCCTGTTTCTTTGCTTCTCTGCTTTTCCTGCTTCTCTTGTTTTCTGCTTTTCCTGCTTCTTTGCCTTTCTCCTGTTTTGCTTTTGTGCGTTTCCTGTTTCTTTGCTTCTCTGCTTTTTTACTTCTCTGCTTTTTTTTTGCTTTGCCTGATTTAAATACTTGATTTTCATGTAAGATGCATTTTGCACAGTATTTACATCCCTGAGTATCACATGACCAATCTTCTCTTGAAAACTAGCAACGTAACATGTGAGAAGAGGTGCTTGCATTCTGCTTTGGGGGGAGGCGCTGCGCCCTCCCCCCAATCCCCCCCTCCCGTTTTTTTTTAATTTAAACTTAACCCCAGTTACATTAGTTGGTTTTTGCGAACTAACCTTCTCTGGAAAGCTGACAGGATTACATGTGATAGATAGATAGATAGATAGATAGATAGCTTGGTAGATAGATAGCTAGATCGATAGATAGCCAGCTAGATAGATAGATAGATAGCTGGAGAGATAGATAGCTAGATACCTCGATAGATAGATGGCTAGATAGATAGCTAGATAGATAGATGGCTAGATAGATAGCTAGATAGATAGATAGCTAGCTAGATAGATAAAGAGGTAGCTAGATAGATAGCTAGATAGATAGATAGATAGCTAAATAGATAGCTCGATAGCTAGATAGCTGGATAGACAGCTGGATGGCTAGATAGATAGATAGCTAGATAGATAGAAAGCTAGGTAGCTAGATAGCTAGGTAGATAGTTAGCTCGATAGCTCGATAGCTAGATAGCTGGATAGACAGCTGGATGGCTAGATAGATAGATAGCTAGATAGATAGAAAGCTTGATAGCTAGATAGCTAGATAGATAGTTAGCTAGATAGCTAGATAGGTAGATAGATAGCTAGCAAGATAGCTAGCTAGATAGGTAGATAGATAGCTAGATAGATAGATAGCTTGCTAGATAGATAGCTAGCTTGCTAGATAAATAGCTAGCTAGATAGCTAGATAGCTAGCTAGCTGGATAGATAGCTAGCGCCCTCCCTCAATCCCCCCACCCGTTTTTTATCTAATCCCAAGCTTGCGCATCTGTAAATATTTGGGTGAACATGCTCACATGTAGAACATCCCATGCAAAATGGAAGGTGAACATGCCAAAATGTGGCAAATACCATACAAAATGGAAGGTGAGCATGCCCACATGTAGGAAATCCCATGCAAAATGGAAGGTGAACATGCCAAAATGTGGCAAATACCATACAAAATGGAAGGTGAACATGCCCACATGTAGTAAATCCCATGTAAAATCGAAGGTGAACATGCCCAAATGTGGCAAATACCATGCAAAATGACAAATTCAAGTTCCAACCCGTTGCAAACACTAGGCAAATGGTACCAGCCAAGAAATCCAAAAAAAAATTCCAAACCTGCTCAAAAAAAAAATCCTAAAACTATTTCACACCCTTTGGAAAGTTGTGAGTGTTTGCAGCCCAGTACCACCCCCCACCCAACCGTGGGCCATGAATTAAAATCAGACCTTTGGTAGCATTCATTTGCTGGGCTGATGCTCCAGTCCCGCATAATAGAAGGTTTGTTTGTTTTTTCCCAAAAGCATCTCCGATGCTTGGGTTCTCGTTTAGATGGAATTGTATTTGATTCAGGGCTGTTTGAATTTGATTTGGGGTTTGAATTCTAGTTTGCAGTCATGGTTTTAGATACTGTAAGATTTATTTTTATATATATATATATATCCAAGTTTTCCGTCGTACTAAATGCTAGCGAGATACTTTTGTATCCTGATCCGTTCTGGTTTCCCGGAACAAGGCTTCTGGAGTCCGATTTATTTTCAAAATCGCCCGCTGCATAATATTTACTATAACGGCCCCATAGATTCCAGTTATATATCCATCTAGATTCTAGACTATCCCCGAACGTTTTCAATTTCATATTCATCATTATTTTCCCATGTCAGACTTTATTTCCTCGCTCGTTCATCAGATTTTATTATATGGGTTCCACCGTTACCGTTAAGGATTCCACCCCCCTCGTTTTGGATTTGGTTCTCTCCTTACGTTTTAAACCCCCAACACTTGCAAATGCATTCCCCATTTAAATTTCCAAATATTGCTTTTCGAATGTTTTCCTCATTTTTTGTTTGAAAGAATCCCAGTATCATGCGGCGATTGATATATATATATATATATGTGTGTGTGTGTGTACCATATATATATATGTTTATTCCAGGTCCATTATTTTGAGTAGATGTTATGTCATCAAAGGTGTGGGGTTCGGCCTACCTTGGGGGGTACAAAACGCGCGGCTGACTTAGGACGAAATGTACCTCACACCCTAGATTTGGGACGAAAAAAACAAGTTTCAGCCGATCTCAGGGGGTACAAAACGCGCAGCTGAGTTAGGACGAAAAAAAAAATATTCATCCTAAATCCAGGGGTTGAGATGGGTTTCAGCCTATCTTGGGGGGTACAAAACGCGCAGCTGAGTTAGGACGAAGTGTACCTCAGACCCTGGATATAGGACGAAAAAAAATTATTCAGCCGATCTCAGGGGGTACAAAACGCGCAGCTGAGTTAGGACGAAAACCTATAATTCCATGATTCTGTTCAGTGGATTCGGGGTCGTTGAACCTGATTTTAGGACGAATAAGATTTTATTTAGCCTATCTCAGGACCCATTATCTACCGCAGGACGCACTTTGGTATTTTTTTGGTGTTTCTTTAAAGTTTTGGGGCATTAATCCATAGGTTTTTGATGGTTTTTGTTCAATTAATTCGGGGTCGTTCAACCCGGATTTAAGACGAACAAAAAAAATCAGCCTATCTGAGGACCCATTACCAACCGCAGGACGCACTTTGTTCTTATTTTTGCTGCCGGCTTGCAGCCCCACAATACAGGCGGCACAGGCCCACCCACAAAATATGCAAACTAATGACATCAACTTTAATATGTTTTAATTTAGGGTTAACCCGTTGTAGAAGGTTAGAAAATTACATATTTATATTTCTGCGCGTTCAGCACAATGCAAAATGTTTGGGGAAAATCATCTATTCAACCCGTGGGAGATCCTCAGATTTAATCAACGCCACCTATCCCTTTTTTTGTATCGTAAATGGATCCTGATGGTTGCCATTGGATGGATTCCCTGCTGGTTGGATCCAAATAGATAAGCGGTTAAGATTTCATTAGTTATTGATATCGTGCCTCTTAATCTCATGTTGTGTTTGGCACTAAGGTTTCATGATTCCTTCCAATTCCTTTGGTTTGGTGTTGGAAAGAATGTTGCATACCTTGAATTAAAATACCATATCTCAGTATCAATGTACGTGCAAAACCCAAGAAAAATCAAACAAAGCAAGACCTTGTGTATACGTGCATCTTCGGAATCGTCGCATTTGTACACCTGCATGCTATGAAATGAGCGTAACGATATGCTATCAAAAAAAAATATATATATGATATGATTCCCTTGGTCCTGGAATTAGATGCCAAAAAGTAACTTATCTGCGACTTAATTAAGAAAAATGAAGTAGTTAAATTCAAACATATTCAAATATTATTCAAATATAATGGCTCCTTGCCAAACAATCTGCATACATATGGATCCACCTAAAGAAATCAAATTCCAGAGACCCACTTTCAATCGCAAAACCTTTTAGTCACACTTGCCGCGAGGGAGTGATACGGAAGTGACGAGAGGGTGGACGGAGGGGAAACCGTGGGAAATGGCTTGGGGAGAGCCCCGTTGAGAGGGAACGGATGGAAGCAACGATTGGGCTGACGGAGGGGAAACCGTGGGAAATAGCATGGGGAGAGCTCCGTGGGGAAGGAGCGAGATGGAAGCGACGAGAGGGTGGCCGGGGGGGAAACCGTGGGAAATAGTATGGGGAGAGCTCCAAGGTGAAGGAGCGATACGGAAGCGACGACAGGGGAACCATCTCCAATGGGAAGAGGCCGGCGTAATTACGGTCACTAATGCCTCCTTCTCAAACGAAAAGAATTTCCAGTCACAGCAAGGTAGGATCCATTTTCTTGGACATCCCACAGAAATCAAGGATGACAAGAACACCGCTTACCGTGTGTTACCACTGTCCTTTGGATCCACAACCATCAAACGCGTCTGTCGCAGCACTCTACAAGCAGAGACATATGCCCTCCAAAACGGACTTGAGACGGGGAACACACTGAGAGGTGTGATCGCAGAACTCAAGGGTCAGATCTGCAGTCTGAAAAGTTGGGAGGAAGATGCACGCAGCTGCATTCCCCATCTGGCGATGACTGATTGCAGATCACTATCCGATCACCTCAATCAGGAAGTCTTGGCCAAAGTGAGCGACAAGTGCCTTGGAATCGAGCTGCAAGGAATTCACGAGAATCTATGGATTGATGGGCGCCGCTCATGGAGCAAATGCCCGAATGGAGGGGACAAGTTGATCTGGATCGCGACAAGTACCATGGTCTCGGATTGTCTGACCAAATCCATGCGACCGGATCTCCTACTTCGAGTGCTGAAAGAGTGCCACTACGTTGTACAGACGTTTTCTTTCTCCGTCTACGTTTTTGGCCTTAGGAAGACACAAGTCATCGTATAGCAGTGTGACACCTGTAGAAAAGGTTAAGTGTGAGTATAGGATAGTTGTACATTAGTTTGGGCCAGGTTGTCACACTATGATGTGTCTGTCGCCATCTGGCTCCTAGGGCCCTTGAGCTAATCCGTGCTCGCGTTGCATTGAAAAGAGAGTTGGACTGCACGATTCCGATATCTACCGACACAAGTGTCAAAAGATATGTCAAAACGAATGTCAAAGCCAATGCCAGAGCATTGCTCCGAAGAATGTCATGGCAGGGATCGCTTGAAGTGCTTTTGTTTGGTAAGCGTTTGTCTTGTGCAAACACCGGAACAGAAATGTGCAGTCTACTGATTTTGAACTTGAGCCACTGACCTTTTTGCGCCAGATCTTGGCCACTTGCTGGCAAGAAAGCAAGGACAAGGAGTCAGAGAAGGGGCTGATCGCTTTGATACAACAACAAAGGATGATTTTAAGCGATTTGGAAAGCCAACTGGTGAATGCGAAGATGGGCCAGCGCAAGGATTAGTTGCCTACTGCTAATCCTGCTGCTGTGAGCGTGCCACGTCACGCGTCTATGTAGCAGTGTTCTTGGAGTTGTTGGTGCTGCGCGATGGTTCAAAAGTCCAGTGTGTCCAAGCCGGTCCGGGCTGGAAGCGCGGTCTTTGCAATAAGTTCAAATGAGAAGGGCTGACATGGGCAGACCTTAGCCGGCAACGAGGAGTCATTTGTAACTGCAGCGTCTCAGGTCAACTCGAACAACTTTTGAAGACCCTCCTTCAACAAACACCCTTGGCGTGTTTCTTAGTCGACGTGTGGAACAACCTCGATTTTTAGAGCAGATGTTGAGATGAAATGTTCTGTCTGGTGCGCAGTTCATTCGTCCCAAGCATTCCCAAGCCATGGTTTTCCGCTGGTGGGCATGGGACCAGGTGGAAGCTGACATCCAGGCAGTGTTGGCGGCCTTGGCAGCGTTGTATTGCACTTATGTTTGTTGTCCTTTCTGCGCTAGGCCTGGGCGCAAAAGAATTATCCGACGCACTATGCCCAGCTGATCAAGCACGAGGCGCATTGGATTTTGATTTTCTCTCTTTTGCAAGTCCTTCGGGTGAGAGACAACCCTGAGCGCAGGTGTTGCAAAGCCTGAGCGAGACTGCTGTTGTTCGTGCAGCTCTCCTTCCATCGGAGGTGGTGATCAGAAGCTTCCCCTCAAGTTGTTTTCTATTGGGTGCAGGTGGTCCCCGCCCGAAATCTGGCTGCAGGTATACGATGCTTCGATCGCTGCTTTGCCTGACCACATTCAGCTTTTGAAATCTGGATATTCCTTCATTCTAGCAACTCGAGCATGGCCCGCGGCCATCGTCCTAGAGGCAGTTTGTTTCACTTTGCTGCCGTGTGTGCTGTGGCAAGTTTAGGATGTCACATGACGCTCATATCCTCCTCCCTCCATTTCCCGGCTTTCTTGCAATAGACAGGTTCTTCGCTTCAGCTTTTCATGGACAGGCCTCAGGCACTGCTGCGGTTTGCACCGCCATGGAAGAGTGACAGAGAAGTTTTGATTGGAACCCAGCGACAGGACCATGAAAAAAATGCAGCAGCAACAAGAGTTGCAAGCCTAGTGCGCAGCGCGCAAGCAGCAGGAAGTAGGAACCTGATGCGGTCGCGTTTTTGCATGCTGAAAACATGGTTCCTTCATGGGTGCAGCGACCAAAATCCCTCTCAAACTTCATTTTGTGCGCCCGCCTTTCCCAAGGCACGAGTCTTTGGCGGTGCGAGTTTGCAAGATTTGCAAGTAGCTTGACAAAAGTTGTCGGGCTGCAGATTTGGCCCTTAGCCACTTTACAAAGCTGGCGGAGGCCAGTTTCATCACCGCGATTGTCTTTGGCATCTACACGTGAACCAAGAGAAGAGGACTCCTATCATTGTGATGAAGACATGGGAGATAATCAGAATGCTACGCTGCCTTGGGCGCTGATCATTTGGTGTGAACATCGCTGCATTCACTCAAGGACTGCAGCCCGGTGAGTGCAGAAGCAGAGGCCAAAACTTGACAAGTCCTACTATTGCGCTTCTGCAAGCTTACGTGCCGCTGTTCCAATCAGGTTGAACCTTTTTGTGTCACGGCTATGCCAGGACTACCAGCGTGTCACCAATCTTTCAAAGAAAGCCCGGAGGAGGCTTGTTATCGGCTCAGCCTTGCGGCGGTACCGTGATGGCTATCCAGCGTTGCGTGCCAGCAGCCTGTGACTAGTTTTTTCAGCCTAGGCTAGGAAGGAGATCAAGGCCAAACGGGCCTGGGCCTTTTTGCTTTTTCAAACCATGTTCTGCCAAGTCTGATCCATTTATGTTGCTTCTTAGGCTGCCGTCAAAAGGGATGGAAGGTGGCCAGAGTTGGGAGGGGCGGGCGCACCTTGGAGTTAGGTCCTTTGCTTGGCGCTTTTCTCCCTCTTGGCATTCAAGACTTGTTCCAATCAATGTTGCATTTTTTGAGGCTCAACGAACATACAGTTCGCGCTAAAGATTATGATCTTTGTGTAAGCATTTAATTTATGCAGAGTCAAAGGAAGTTTAGAAGTCTAACTTCCGACTTATGGACTTATGGAAAGGTGCAGCCAAGGCAGCGGAAAAGAGTCATAAGAAAGAAGACCGAAGTGCGCGAAATGTTTGGAAAGTCTCGAGATGCTGCGTTTAAATGCGGCGGGGGCGGACCCAGTCCGGGAGATGGTCGATCAAGAAGTGACAAAAACCTCGGTAAAAGTACTATGTTGAAATGAAAAACGGAAGCGACGAGAGGGTGGACGGAGGGGAAGCGTGGGAAATAGCTTGGGGAGAGCTCCGTGGGAAGGAGCGATACGAAAGCGACGAGGCGGAAGGGAAACCATGGGAAATAGTTAGGAAGAGCTCCGTTGGGAAGGAGCGAGATGGAAGCGACGACAAGGTGGACGGATGGGAAACTGTGGGAAATAGCAAGAGATTTTGGCAAAGCTTTCAGTGTGCAAAGCTATGGAGGTGTCTTTCTTGTGTCGTTTCGCGACCCTGGCTTGCGGCAAGTTGGAAGGAAGGTGCGTCGATGAGGATTGCTTGCAAATTCTGCAGGCTGCAGGCTCTAGGCCAACCTTGCGTTGCTCACGTGCAAGCCAGCCAGACCAGAATTGATCCAAAGATGGAAGGATCCAAAACGCGCACACCCGCTGCATCCCGCACCGTTGTCATCGTGGATAAGTTCCTTGGCTTGCATGGAGCCATGAAAGATTTTTACAGGAAACAAGTTGCAAGATCCCACCACAAATTCCGAAGCCCACCAGCGTCGCTTAGTATAGAACTTGTAAGGGCAATCTCAGGTGGCAGGTCCAAAAACATGTACGCATATCCAAAAGTTTTGTTGCAAGGTCCATTAACAGGGCCCAGGTCCAAAAGAAATGGAATGAGGCCCAAAAAAGGTGCCAAGAAATAATAGGGTAACAAGAAGGAAAACAGAGGGAAACAACAGGGAAATAACACGTAAATAATATGGAAATAATAGGGAAACAATAAGGAAATAGTAGGGTTAAATACTATCGAAATAACAGGGAAACACTAGGGAAATAATAGGGAAATGATAAGGAAATAATTGGGGATTAATAGGGAATTATCCGAAGGGATTGGAGCCCCAATGATTGACCCAGTGTCATTGGAAACCAGTGGAATCAATGCAGACTAACTAATCATAAATTCTTTGTGGAGGCTAATTGTTCATCCCATTTGCAATGGACACTTTTTGTGACTGGAATCGCTGGAAGCTGTATGAATAAAAGTATTTCTTGTGCTGGCACTTTATATTTTTCAAATGAGGGTAGTCCCCTGTGTTTTGATGGGGTGTGACCCTGCTGTGACTGGGTCGTGGCGACTTTTCCGCAAACGATTTGTCCACATTCAAGTTACTTTACTTCGAGTTATCCCCACCATGACATCTATACGTTTTGTTACTGGCAAATCTTCTGGCATTCTATCTGACATATCTTCTGGCATTTTATCTGGCATATCTTCTGGCATTCCATCTGGCATATCGTCTGGCATTGTACCTGGTATATCTTCTGCAATATGTTCTGGCATATCTTCTGGCACTCTATCTGGCATATCTCCTGGCATATCTTCTGACCTTCTATCTGGCATTCTATCTGGCAAATCTTCTGGCATATGTTCTGGCAAACATTCTGGCACTTTATCTGGCATACCTTCTGGCATTCTATCTGACATTCTATCTGGCATACCTTCTGGCATTCTATCTGGTATATCTTCTGGCATTTTATCTGGCATATCTTCTGGCATTCTATCTGGCATATCTTCTGGCATTCTACCTGGTGTATCTTCTGGCATATGTTCTGGCATATCTTCTGGCACTCTATCTGGCATATCTTCTGGCATATCTGCTGACATTCTATCTGGCATTCTATCTGGCAAATCTTCTGGCGTTCTATCTGGCAAACATTCTGGCACTTTATCTGGCATACCTTCTGGCATTCTGTCTGACATTCTATCGGGCGTTCTATCTGAGATTTTATCTGGCATTCTCTCTGGCATTCTATCTGGCATATCTTCTGACATTCTATCTGGCATAGATTCTGGCATTCTATCTGGCATATCTCATGGCATTTTACCTGGCATTTCTTCTGGCATTCTATCTGGCATATCCTCCGGCACACTTTCTGCCAGTCTATGTGGCATATCTTCTGGCATTCGATCTGGCATTCTATCTGGCATAGCTTCTGACATTTTGTCTGGCACATCTTCTGGCATTCTATCTGGCATATCTTCTGGCATTCTATCTGACATTTTATCTGGCATTCTCTCTGGCATACCTTCTGGCATTCTATCTGGCATATCTTCTAACCTTCTATCTGGCATAGCTTCTGGCATATCCGGCAAATCTTCTGGCATTCTACCTGGCATATCTTCTGGCACACTTTCTGCCAATCTATGTGGCATACCTTCTGGCATTCGATCTGGCATATCTTCTGGCATTCTATCTGGCATATCTTCTAACACTCTATCTGGCATATCTTCTGGCATTCTATCTGGCCGTTGAGGTCCAGCGGTGCACACTGAGCTGGGAAGGCCGGAGGTTGAGGTCCAGCGGTGCACACTGAGCTGGGAAGGTCCCAGGTTGAGGTCCAGCGGTGCACACTGAGCTGGGAAGCTCCCAGGTTGAGGCCCAGCGGTGCACACTGAGCTGGGAAGTGGTCGAGGAGAAATTGGAGGAGGAGGCGAGGAGGAGGAGAGGCGAGGAAGAGGAGGACAACAACTCTGATAAAATCTAACAACCCTCACCTGGCAGGTGGGGAAAAAATTGTTGCGACTTCAACGCTCGATTGCACTATCCGTACTATCCAGTGAGCATTTGTGGGTCCAACCCCTCGGGTTGTCAGCTCCAGGAGGCTTCCTGTAAGTCCTGCACGAGATGTGAAAGCAGTGCTGAGGCAGCTCAGGCGGGACACCTGAACGGGTCAGAAGGTGACGATTGAACAGCTGACAGCGCATTTTCACTTCCACATATTCCACAACTCATTGAATTTTTTTGACAAGTGCTGCCGATTGCAAAGGAACTGACAAGTCACAGACTGTTCGCAGCAGCTCTGTCAGAGGTCGTTGGGTGTTCTGGATGTAGACACTCTTTCCCAAGCTCGTGCCGAGTTGGGTCGGTCTTCCGCAAAGTGGAAACTTCAGTCGACAGATACAGCAATGCAGCCTGAAAACAGTCAAAATGTCAACCAACTCCACGAACCATCTGAATATTCAAAAAACAATGCCTTGAAAGGTCATATGGTTCCCAGATGGTTCCCAGATGGCTCCAGCATGTCTTAAGGTTAACAAAGGCAAGTCTAGGTCCAAGCCAAGGCAGGGCTCGAAAGGGGCAGGGATTGGGAACAGACCCGTGTCAGAGAATTGTGACGAGCAAGTTGTTTTTTCCGGTGCTTTCCCCTGGTGTGGAGCTGTCTTTGTTTTTTGTTTTCCAAAAACCTACTCCTGGGGACTTCTAGCAGGGGCCGGTGATGTTCGCAGCTGTGATGGGGATGGAGATCACGCCCGCGATGAGCCTCGCAGGGTTCTTACTTCTATGCAGTACTGTGCAGCTGTTCCTGTCCTTCCTGCCGTGCATGTCTTTCCGCAACGATGTGGTAGTTGTGGTGAAAACTGCATGGTAAGAGGGGGGGCCACAACATGCTCTCTAGTTGATGTTCGATGTTGTGGAGTTCTTAGAGAAGAGTTGAGGATTGCTTTGCAGTGATGTGCTATGTGTGAATGGGAAGATTGTAGTTCCGTTGAGTCCTTTCTTCCCAGGTGTCGTCCTGGATTTGTTGGAGGAAGCAGCTGCTGGGCTTTTATAGAGACCAGGCAAATCAGAGTTTGTCTTGTTGATTCATGTTGATTCATGTTGCACCATTGTTTTGACATGTGCATCTTGCTAAACAGTGCAAGGTTGTCACCTAAGGTTATCTACAAACCCAAAGGCTGGGAGGTGGAGCCCACAGCTGGCTGTGCCCACAAACAGCTTTCTGTGCCTGGGACAAGCTTAAACAGTACACAACACCAAACCACTGTGACTGGTTTGCGAGAGGAGAGTGGACACTGTTCATGGTAGTCTTTCTGATATTGCCATGGCACAGAGATATGGCATCCGATTTGTTCACCTTTCAGACCGCCCAATCCGTGTGACCAAGGACTTTGTGCAGCAAACGATGCCGGAAAATGTGATGAACTCCGACGCAACAAATTCCTATGGTTTCTTGCATCGTTTGGATGCGGGAGCCTGAGTGGAAGAAGGATAGTGACCCTCCGTTCTAGCAGTTTATATTTTATTTCAACAGATATCTGCTTGTATATGTTTGCATCAGACTGATAACCGGCCGGTCATGTCTTCTGCATTTCTGGCGTCTTGTTTTATGAATGGATGTGATGACAAGACAGCTTCCTTGACAATGCTTTGCAATTCTCCAAGTGCTGACTGAGGTGGTGACCAGTGGTCTGGTTCTGAGGGCAAAGAACTACAGGGCCTACCACAATCTGGACGCTGGGAGCAGACACACTTCGATGTTGGATTGGAGTGTAGCACTCTCGGTTTGCGTCGTGTGTACCTAGAATACGTAGATTATGATAGTGGCATATAGTGGCTTGCGGTTTTGCTGTGCTCGTCCAAGTGAACTGAAGGATTTTCAGCTAATGGAGGGCAGCATTGATCGAGAGTATCAAGTTCTTTGTCATGGCTTCTGGTCACGAGTTGCTTGTTGTGTCTCGTCCAGTCCTATCCTGGAAAGATTTTCACAGAGGATGCATAGATGATCCTACCTTTTTGGCAAACTTTTGGCGACGACCCCTGTAGGGGTTGTCACCTGACTTGGCCCTTGGTCAGGCCTTGAACAAGCAACTGGATAAACAACGACAAAAACAATTTAAGACAAAGACTTTCCACATTTCACAGCACCTTCTTTTTTCCAGAGAAGTTGAAGTGGACAACCGAGGAAGTAAGAAATTGTTGAGAACTACTTTGCATGTATGCTCTATATTGATCAGTTTTGCTCACGCTTTCTTCTTCCTGATCTACCCATAAACCATCACCGTTTCAGAGAAGAATTGTCAAATTTGAAAGCATTGGAATCTTCTTGAGGAAGTTGCGCGCGAAACGCGCAATCTGAAGACAAAACAGAGTTTCTTCAATTGGCCTGTCAAAATTTTCAGTTTGATAGGCTTCTAGGCTAAGCTCGTTACTCAGGCTTGGACTTGCCCGTCTTTGCCTTGAAGGCGAACCCGTTTGTGTCACTCGTTGCTGATGCCACCGGTGCTTAGTGTTTTGTGCTGTTTGTGCTCAAAAAAACCGAATTACTCGTTATTGGTTCACCCTTTTAGGTTCACCAATAGGTTCACTCCTTTTGTCCCACTTGTCCCGCTTTTCAAGGGTGCTGTGACTCGCCGGAGCCAAGTGGCGACACCGGGAGCACGTCCGGCGAGGAGTGACGTCAAGGCAGACAAAGTGAAACGAAGCAGAAACGAAAAGAATAACATATTAGAATCATATTAGTATATGATTATATAATATATGATATATATATATATATACATATTATATATAATTATATACATATCAATATTAGATCAAGATTATATCAATACAATTCAATACAGTATGTCTATTGAATTTGCTAAGTCTGGAAGGCTTGTTTCACTAGAGAGCTGCTCGTAATGTTTTTCTAGTGTTTGTCCGTTAATGCTGTGAGCGTCCTCAGTCAATCATTGTTTGTTGAGATTTGGCTTCTCAATAAGTTCCAAATTCGAACAAACTTTGCAGTTTGATTTATAATTTATATTGTTTCTCTTTGGATAGTTCCTTTGACGGAAGTAGTTTTTATGCCTTTAGTTTTTCTCCTTTTCTGTTGGAGCCAGGTCTTATCCCATTTGAGTTTTGGATCGAGAGCTCTCAGCTTTGCTCATATATCCATCCAGACAGGACGCCGTGCCTTCGAAGCAAACATGGGTATACCTTCTGCGATGTTTATGTATTTAAAAAAAATATATATGATATGCCGAACGGCTGAAAATGAGCTTTGAAAGTCAGTGGCTTAGGTAGGTAAGGAACCGGCCCGAGAAAGTAGCTGTAGCTTAGATATGTCAGCAGATTGCCCAAATTACGTCAAACACTCCATTGCAGATCTTCTATAAAGTACTTTACACGTCTTTACATCGTTTCTGTGAAGGCTTCTGCTCTTTCAATGCATGGCCAGCAGAAGAAGATAGCGGCGGCACATCGGTAGAATGTTCAGGTGTCCAGAAATCTTCGTTTGGACGACTCGAAGTGGGCGTAAAGTGTTGCCATCTTTGCTGAGGCCATCAGATTCGAGCCCAAGCAGCACATGTCGGCCATCCTGTAGTATCTGACAGCTTTTATACGACTCCAAGCACCTTTGCTGACGACCAGGCGGAAGAATTTGGCGTCAAACTATTCTATCCCAACAGAACTTTAGAGTCAAGCTGCATGACGGATGGGCAAATCGAATCATGAAATACTCACAGGATCTCATAGGCCAGTGGTTGACATGTGGCTGCCCAGACACTATCTGCTGATTGCTTCCTCCATCGCTACCGCTTGTCCTTCACCGATATGTCGGGCGTGCGGCGAGAAGTGTCGCTTGAATGCAGTGGAAGTGTGTCTCAAGCGCATGGGCCGCATGGGTCTGTTACCGAAGTTTGCCAGACAGGAAGCGTGCACAATGTCAGGAATTAGTCCAAGCAGACAGTTTCAGGATGACAAGAGCTGCGAACCCCAACTCCAGAACGCGCAGCGGCACATACGGCATGCCTCACATGTCATCTAGAGAAAGAGTTCCTGAACACACAAGACAGAGCACAGACAGAGCCATACAGAGTCAAAAAGAAAGAACGGAGATTGCAAGACCAGGCCAGCAATGCGCATGATTTGCTGCACCTGCAAGGTCAGGGCTGCAATTCGGTTTCAACTTTCCACGGTTTTCTTTGTAAACTAAAGGGCAGGAGTGCTAAATGCGAACCGGTCAAGAGATCCTATTGCTTGCAAAGATTATTCAATCTGTAGACACGCTTTGCATGGTTGTTTTGTGCTCAGCCTTTCGGATCCTGGAGTTGCAAGCTCCGTTGGCAAGGAAGATGACAAAGTCTTTTACATCTTTTACCGAACCATCAAAAAAGCTCTTGCCCACCAAAATCGCTGTGCAATGAGGTTTATGCCTCTTCCTCCTCACTTATCTGCTGCTTTGAAGTCAGCAGAAGCGACCCTTGGCAGTGCGATAAGCATTTTGAAACCTCCCGCTGTATCCAACTTTCTCAGTCCACGACGCCCAGCTAGTTTTCTTGCGTTTTATGTTCGTGTAGCCATTTCACTCATGGCATAATCTCAGCCAAGCTATCTTCAGGAAAGACCCACGGAATGCTGATTTGCGTTTGAAGCCAAAGAGCTTTGCAGAAACCAAAGAATTTCGCAGACGGGGCAGGACAGAACATCCCGGCACCAGTCGGAGATCTCATCCCCGAGAAGAGAAAAGAGGAAATCTTTGGATATGAGGTGTTGACATCGACATGAAATGAATTGAACACTAGAAACTTTGCAGAAACAAAGATTGAGACTCAAGTTCTGAACATATATAGATTGTCTCAATCTTTCTGAGTTGATCGTTGAGCCAGTCTTGGGTTGCTTTCTGGCACACTACATGAATGCTGTCATGAATGCTGTGAGATTGCCTTCCGTGTAAACTTCTGTCTCATATCCCGGGTATCCGGTTGTTCTGCCGCTGCTTGGTGCTTGATCTCAAATCTCCATGGATCTGAAGCAAAGATTTCTTGCCGATATCCAAAGGTCCAAACTCCAAACTTCCCATAGCTTTTCCAAAGTCGAACTGCCATGGGATGCATTTGAAAGATCTGAAAGGCTTGACCTTAGACCCTGTGACAGATGGACATCACCATAAAGCATTTGATTCATTTGATCTGAGCCTTGACACTTGGAGTCACTTTCCGCGCAGAGCCAGGGATGCCTCGGCTACGACGTTTCTTTTTGGCAGTTTTCAGAGCCAGAAGGACCACAATGTTTTTGGTGAAGAGGTCGAAGAGTGGAACTCAGACTGTCCTCCATTTTTGCCCGATGGTCGCTCACACAAGCATGGTTTCTGCCGAAAACTCGACCCAGTGAAACAGGATTTCTATCCTCCGGCAAATCCTGAGCCACGGCCGGGAGTTCAGCCGACAGCAGTTCAGCCGACAGCTCCCCAAAAACCAAGAGTTCCCGTTGAAAAGCCTCAAGTTCCCTTTGAGCTTCCTGCTCAGACTATACGAGAGGAGCAAAAACTTGTGGTGCAGGAACCTCAAGTACCATTCACAGCGCAGAGTCCGCAGAAAACTCAGGCGACTGAGGCGACACTGAAGATGACGAGACAACAACACAAAGAGATGAAACATAAAGATAAGATCCAACCGCCATTTGTAGGGCCGGAGGCTGCAGAAGATGTATCCCCAGCGCCATCCGCAGCACCTGCACCACCTGTGGAAGTTGACCCTGGTGAACCCCGGCCACCACTCATTGTTGAGCAAAAAACTTCAGCACCGAGCAAAGGCCCAGAGATTGGAATTGTTGAAGATGACCCATCCCCAGAGGAAGAGTTGCTGGAAGCTGAACCTTGGAATATTGGAAGGTTTTTCAGGGGAAAGCGCGGATAGCAGGGTTGCAACAGTTGCAACTTCAAGTTTAGTGAGTCTAAAGTACTTGTCATATACTTCTCTTAATGCACCTCCAGTACTTTCACCAGGTTCTTGAAAGCCTTCTTAGTCGTTCACTGAATAGCTCTGAGGACCCAGAGGCAAAGAAGCTTTTGAACAAGCTGACCGAGGTGAACTTCGAAAGAAACGGAAACGCTATTCTTTTTGCTGAATAAGACCTAGATGTTTCGACTTTAAAACAACACTGGAGTACGTCAGGTGCAGTGCAAGCTGGAAACCAAATGGAAGTGAAAAAAGGCCGAGCATCGCAAGAATCAATAGTTTAGTCACAGTCTGCCTGGAGACTTCAACAACGACATACCACATACATCCACATACCACAACTCCTTTCTTTGGATTCAGTTGCGTGCCAAGCAAAACTGTAGAAGAGCTGAACGTTTTTTTCTGCAGGAGGGTGTGCAGCTGGAGGAGCAGAAAGCGATGGAGCAATTTCTGCCGAAGAATCCGCCTGGAACGCCAAAGCCGGAAGACCAAGAACCCTTTTGGCCACCGCGTGGTGGAACTGCACCTCCAATGCAACCGATCCCTCCAAGGTGCAAAAGCTTTTCATTGACAGATTTCGAATTTGATCGTCTGCTTCAAAACATGGGTCGTGATGTTGTCGGATGTTGTCGGATGTCATTAGAAGACCAATCAGATGTCTCCAAAACTTTGCTGATTTGTTATATTTTGTTATCAAATTCCGCTTTTCCAATTTCTGCGAGGCCTGGAGAGCCCGATTACAACTATGGCTGGACACCTCCAGCAGGACGCGTGCCTTACAGCCCGCCTTGGCCCGGTGGTGCTCCGCTCACTGCTGTCGATCGTGCTGAGGCTGTCGCAGCTGAAGTGGGAAATGAAGCCAGTGCTGCAGCACATTCGGTGGAGGAGCTTTGATCAAAAGCCTCAAAAAATGTTCATTTCATAAAGAGTTTGAAAAGAGATAAAAAGATCAAGTTCCCTCGAAATTAGTCTGCACTGGGTCCAGAGTTTGTATAAGGATGTATAAGGACAAGCCAACATGTCAGCAGACAAATAGAGGCTCAGTGGCATGGGTACCTCTATCCAAACGCAAAACAATTTTCTTTCAGTGAGATTCCAATCCCAGCACTTGTTGTGAGTTTATTTATCCCTTTCCCTACTCACAGTGTGGCAATGGTATTCTGCTTCTGTAGCGCTTCCATGGCAGATTTCAGGATGCTGCAGATGCCCTGCTCAACACACCCATGTGACGGAGAGGAAGCTGGCGGAGAAGATCAGCCATCTGAGCACTTGAACATGCACGAGAAGGCTACATGAGAAGTCTCAGAAGACCTCGAGCAGTTTCAAGTCCCAATTGAGAAGGGCAAATGGGAGAAGGACGTTCAGTTTTTATGCCGAAACAAGACTTTCGATGCACAAAAGAACTTGCTCTTCATCTGGCAAAGTCCAGCAGTGCTCATCCCCCAAGGTGTAAAATGGCTTGAGTCTCCCGACTTGGTATATGGATGTTAGAAGCTTGTTTGGCCGCAAAGCAAAACAGGAAGTGTGGCTCTCCATGTATAAAAACAAAACCCATATGACAGAGATGACTGAAATATACTGAAATCATGAGACAAAACGAGATTCAACGGAATTCAACGGAATTCAATGTTGCTTTCACCCGCCACTTGCGACTGCTGTTGGTCTAGCTGTCATGGGTCATGCCACACTGCTGCCTGCCTTGGTGCCGGTTCCAAAGCCGGAGTTTGGACGGTAAAAATATGAGATTTGGATAGATTTGATACCTAAGGCACTTGCAGCAAAGGTGGAATTCAAAGCAACCAAAATGGCCTTCTATCTTGGGCCTATGCTGGTCCTATTTTGGAAAACTGATAGATTCTATCACTGCAGTTGTTCTGGCAACCCTGGAGTCCTTCGTGTGGGGTTTGTGTGAAGCTGTGCAAGCTGCAAGTTTTTCATCCACGTCCATGTCCCTGTGTTGACGGTCAGTCTATGCTTTGTTTGAATTGTCAATGTCCCTCGTTTGTTTGTTGCCAAGACGTGAACATATTGTGGTTGGCCAACAGTTGCCATGTGAGCTTTGCGGCTCCAAAGTGGCACGGACGTCGAGCTTGAGCGGAATCGTTTTGGTCTTTTCAACACACCGCCGAAGCCTCAAATTGAGGTCATTTGAGACAACTTCTCGGATCCACATCCGTGGTGCGATTTGTCCATCCCAAAGGTACTGTTTGAACTTTGAAACCAAGGTAGTGATGGTAGTGGGTATAGGGCAACATAGGTATGAGGATGAGGTGTATTTGGATAGATTTTCCATGATTTTTCTGGGTACAGCATGTAGACGTGAGCGCATGATGTCTAAGGCGAAACTTCTCCGCCATGGAGGAAAATTCAAAACTGCTCTCAGTTTGCACAATAGAAACTGATGAGGCCGGAGGATGCGCATTGATGGTGGCACCCAATTGCTGTGCAAATGCTGTCGAATCCTTGTGCATTGGGAGTGCCAATTGGAAAACGATTTGTTCCGGTCCAGGAATTTCTGAGCTCTTTGGACAGTGAATCATCAGATGGTATGAATCTGAGTATTTCCTGAAGCGAAAGAGAAGAAAAGAGAAGGGTGTGCTTTGTGTTTTTCCTTGGTGTGTGCATGGGTAGTCTGTGTTTTTCCCGTGTCTGTAACGGCTCATGTGTGTTGCGATCCATTTGAACTGCCCAATCTGAATCTGTGTGGAGGATTTCCAGGTGATGTCAGGACTTGGATCTGCTTACTAAAATTTTCCGTGCGCCAGATTCAGATGCTTGACGTTTGTGCAACATTTTGAAACCAGAGGGAAGACTTCAAGTAGCTTGCAAAGTTCCTAGTATCCGCATTCTGGTGGACATGGGGCAATCAACACATGGGTGGGGAGCAGTGAAAAGGCGCTGGGGCGAGCTGATGTACTCGAGGCTCCCAGCCGAAGGAATGGAAAAACATATATATTCCTGCAACCCTACAATATTTTCAATCCGCAATGTCACTGATGCCCCCAATCATCGAACTTGCCCTCAAACTTCTGACAAAAACAAGGTCAAGACGCCAATAATGACCTGGACGGTTTGCTCATTAGTGAAATGAGAATTTAATCAGCACTTCAGCCCCACTTTTGTCTCTGACGTGCAGAAGGAAATGTAACTTTAGCGCGAGTTCCAACAAGAACGTGATTACAGGGCTTGTGAAACGTGTAATACTTCTATGCAACGTGCAATACTTCTATGCAACCTGCAATACTTCTCTGCAACGTGCAATACTTCTATGAAACGTGCAATACTTCTTTGCAACCTGCAATACTTCTCTGCAAAGTGCAATACTTCTTTGCAACCTGCAATACTTCTCTGCAACCTGCAATACTTCTATGCAACGTGCAATACTTCTATGCAACGTACAATACTTCTATGAAACGTGCAATACTTCTTTGCAACCTGCAATACTTCTATGCAACGTGCAATACTTCTATGCAACGTCAAATACTTCTATGCAACGTGCAATACTTCTATGCAACCTGCAATACTTCAATGCAACGTGCAATACTTCTATGCAACGTGCAATACTTCTATGCAACGTGCAATACTTCTATGCAACGTGCAATACTTCTATGCAACGTGCAATACTTCTATGCAACGTGCAATACTTCTATGCAACGTGCAATACTTCCATGCAACGTGCAATACTTCTATGCAACGTGCAATACTTCTATGCAACCTGCAATACTTCTATGCAACGTGCAATACTTCTATGAAACGTGCAATACTTCTATGCAACGTCCACCTCCAAAAAACATTAAATTTACCCAGGGCGTAAACGACGTCGCCAGCAAAAACAACAGCTATAGTTACAGCATTGTTACAGCTAAGGTGACATGGGCTATGACTACATCCCTCAGAAACTGACGGGATCACAGCGTTTGGTTAGGCGACGTCAGATTGAGAATGTGCCGAGTGGAAGAGTGGCAGTCTTGACAACTAAACATGCTGCATGACATAAGAACACATAAGAACACAAAAGAGACCATCATAGACCATCAGTC